GGGACAGGAGAGGTACTCCCTTGTACCTGTCCACCATATTGTTGATAAGGTTTTGTTTTTCCTAGTTTAATTGATGATTTCTGTAATTAGATGCCATGACGCCAGACTATTTGGCTAAGGGTATAAAGATACTAGGATTGATTGTATTAGCCAGCCTTACTGGGCCCGGCTTTGCTGGGACCACGTTTGGTTCACTGTGCTTTTATTGGCCAATAAAACTGTCTGTTTAGCTGCATAAACTGAGTGAGGCTTTTCCTTCGACACAGCCTATTGGTCGAGAGCAGTGGCAGGTCGTGCCCCCCAGTTACACCCCATTCGCAGACAGAGCTGTCCATTAAGATGCAGCCGGGTCAGCCTATTGGGCGCCTCCGATTCAGAACACGCCCTTTACTCACAGCCCATTCTCGGACAGAACAGTCTATTATGATCAGTCCGGGACAGCCTATTGGCCACCCTTAGCTTTAGGACATGCCCTTGAGTCACGCTCCATTGGCGGACAGAGCAGTCCGTTAAGATCCACCAAGGACAGCCTTTGGCCGACAGCAGTGTCAGGACGCGCCCCTTAGTCACATCCCATTCGCCGGCAGAGCAGTCCGTTAAGATCATTCCCCGGTCAGCTTATTGGTCGCCTCAGATAAAGGACGCAGGACAGCCTTTGGCCGACAGCAGTGTCAGGACGCGCCCCTTAGTCACATCCCATTCGCCGGGAGACCAATCCGTTAAAACACATCCGGGTAAGCCTATTGAGCTCTGAAGAGTCAGGACACACCCTTCAGTCACAGCCCATTCGTGGAAAGAGCATCTGTTAAGATCCACCCGGCTCAGCCTATTGGGCTCCTCAGATTCCAAACACGCTGTTCGGTCACATCCCATTCACGGACAGACCAGTCCATTAAGATCCATCCCGGGTCAGCTTATTGGGCTCCTCAGATTCAGGAGATGCCCCGGACAGCCTATTGGCCGCCAGCAGAGCCGGAACACGCCCCTATAGTGACTGCCCACGTGCCTACAAAGCAGTCTATTAACGTCCGTTCCGGAAAGCTCATTGGCCGATCCCGCAGGAAAGACACGCCCCTTCGTGACAGGCCGTTCGCCCACAGAGCTGCCCATTAACGTCACTGGACGCCCACGCGTTGAGACAGGAAACTGAGGCACGGGTGCTGGCCAGGGAATGCAGAACTGGTGGGGGCGGGGCTGATCAACATCGGTTCACGGAGCAGTCGACGGACCTCGTGAATTCTCACCGGCTACTCAATGATTCCCCAGTCCCGGGGCGGGGCTGGTGTGACATCACAAACAGCTGCCGTCACAATCGGCTCCCTGTAGCGGTTTCTGACACGTGTGGGGGTCAGATCTGGCTTCTAACGGTTTTAGCTGTTGATGCAAGCAGAGACGGGGAACCGA